ATAATAGCAACATACAGTAATATGCGTGTATTTTGTATAAGATATTTAATCATCATGAATAAAGTAAGTCAAAACAAATAGTTTTAATGTTTTATTCAAACACATTTGCTGTATGCAGCGAGTACGTCTCCGTGGTATGGGGTAGATGCAGAGAATAGGGCCTAGCTAGGCCTACTTGCATCCCCGCTCTAACGTTGTGGTCATAACGTGATGCCAACGCTAATTTCGAGGGCTGCTAATATGTTTTGAATTTTTATTTAATATTTACTCTCCAAATTTCCAGCGTATGATTACCCTAGGCCTTAACTGAGAATATTGTAAACCCGTGAATCCTACTATCTGATATGTTTGAGTTGCAAAAAGAGTCGCAATCCCGCGAACATTCTGTGTTATGTTGTACCGAGTATATGTCATATCCGGTAAAGGTCAAATGCAGGTCAGATTCAGAAGGCGGAGCATAGCGATACAGAATTCATTAAAATAGGTTGTTTAAAACTCTTTTTTTTAATATAAAAAGGCGTTATCTAAAAATATAAGGAAAGCCATCGATATGTTTATTATATAATTCTTTATTGTTTTTTGACATTTTAAAAGTAACTAGAATATGTCATTTTAGATGGACTTTAAAGCATTTAACCATCCCATTAACTACATTGTTTACATTCAAAAATAAAATTGTATTTACTCCTCTGTCTGGATGCTTTTTTGTGCAAAACTAATGAACAGAATTATAATAACAATAATGGCTTTTGCATGATAATAATAATAATAATAACTTGGATTTTGCATGATATTGGTGTATTGCCCTTAATTTTTCTTCATCGATTTTATTGCTGTAATTGTTTTGTGTTTGCTGTTGCTTTTGGTGTTTGGGTTAGGGATTTTATTGTTAAAGCCCCATTCCCAGCAAAATTTTTTTTTTAAATCTGACTTTTATATTATGTTAGAAATCCGGAATTAATCCTGCATTATTTGGCATTCTTACTAGTACGTGTTGTAATTGATAGATGTCATTCTGAATGAGTTCCTACTATCTCTGGCGTTCCTCAAGGCTTCATCCTTGTGCCCCTTCTTTTTCGTTTTTTGCATCGATTCTGTCACTAATACTCCTCTTTCTACATCCAAACTGATTCTATTTGCTGATGACATGGAGCTCTACTTGCCCCTCAAACTTGACACTAAAGAAATCTTTCAGAATGACATCAACAAAGTTAGCTGCTGGATCTCTGAAAACAATTTAATACTGAATAGCAAGAAAAGTTCATGTTAATATTTTGTAAGTCTATCATCCATAATTCTCCTTCAAAATTAACAAAGCTGATGAGATGTTAGATATATTTACAGGCAATTTTACAACAATTGCGACTCCAAGACACTCCTAAAAATACATACTACCTTGGTTTGACCTATAGTAGAATATGCTTGACAAGAAAACATATTAAACAGCTTGAATCTGTCCAAAGATTTGCTCTAAAAGTCTGTTGTAAAAATCGGGAAATCTTGTATGCAGATATGTGCAAGAAAATGAATATTTTGACCCTTGAAATCAGATGTTTGGTACTCAAACTTGTAACACTGCTCAGATTTGTAAATAATATCCATATTGTAAATTCCTGGCATTTTAATTGAACCAGGGCGTCGCAGTAGATGAAATAATCACTCAAAACATCTCATAGTCCCAAAATGCAGAACTCGTGCATGTCAATCAGCATTTTTTCCATCTGTCATAGCTAAGTGGAATAGCCTGCCTAACAACATAATTAATTCTAATCACACAGAGTTTTAAGAAGAAATTACTATCACATGTTTCATAAATTGTATAGTTATTGGTTTAACTTCTTGTTGCTTTCATGTGTATTTTTCTTTTTTTTTGGGGGGGGGGAGGGGGGAGAGAGAGGGTTTGATGTCATTTTGTTGTTTTTCTCATGAATTTTTAGGCTACTTTTTTGCTTCTCATGATTCAATTAATCTTGCAATTTAAGTTTGATAAAACAAGAAATGAAAAAAAATAGTGAGCATTACAATCACTATGGCAGAGGTCCCAAGTTTGTGAATTGAAATTTCTGGGTAATTTGTCATTTAGTTTGGTTTATTAAACTATAGGCCTACGTATGGCATGTTAATTCAACATGTGTCATGCTGTTTAATCCATTGTGAATAACAGAAACAGTAATAGTTTGCTTTTCGTTTAAAGTGGCAAACAATAGGCAAATAAGTAATTTTCAGGTTTTATTGAACTTAGGTGGTGATACAAAGGCATGGAATTGTATAATTTGGAAGTAAATAAATTATAAAAATTTAAAGTCCAATTAAAATGATGCCTTTTAGGTTGCTGATTATTGAAGTATTACATATGTTTAACAAATGATGGGTAATATCCAGTGGGTGGGGCTTATAGTAATATTTTAAATTGTAATTTTTAATATTTATAAACCAAAAATTAAATATTTTAAAAATATTTAATTTTTGGTAAAAATTACAATTTAAAATATTAGTATAAGCCCCGCCTACTGGAGATGTTCACTGGAGTATGAGTAGAGCTGATGACGTAGACTCGGTATAACAATCACAGCCATCCTGTTTATGTAATACAAACATCGTATAGCACGACATATGAAAGAGGTTAAGTTGGGAAGTACTGATCTAAAGAAGGAAGCAAAGAAATAGAGCAGCTTTATCAATTTGAGCCACAAGAAAGCGAATTTGAAGAAGAAAGAATTGAAGACCAGACTTTGTTAGAAAAACAAAATCGATTGGGCAACACTAACAAATTTTGAGCACTATACTAAATACTGTCCTATTCTAGGCCCGATGGACTAGGCCTAAGCAGAGTAATAGCACGAACACTCATCAGCATACGATGGTTAATATTATTAGTAATAATATACATTGTTTACGTCAAAATTAGCTTACAGTCTGTATATTAAAGCTTATTTTGCAAAATTTTTACATTACAATGTAACGTACGAAGCTGAAATCTGATGTATTGTACAAGGCCTACGCCTTCGATGATGATAGGTCCATGATGATAGTAAACAAAGCCGATTCTCAGCGATCATCATCACGTCACATTGTAAATTGCCTGGTTGTTTTTCATGTTATCGGCTACAATAAAAAGCTAGATTTATTATTTTGGTTGTTATTATGTTGATATACAAATTGTGTGATACTCACTAATAATACAGGCCTCGAAATTAGTACGAAAAAGGACCATGGCAAAAATTGCTGACGTAAATTTGACATTCCTCGGCAGTTTTTGTATTTTGACTCAGCAGGTTTTAGACAGTATATGATTGTACCCATAAATTCGTGGTTTACGAGAATAAAATCTTTCCAAAATTGTAAGTGTATTTGTAAAAACAGGAATTTCTATTCTTTTAAAAGCCATTACTAAAGAACACACAATCGAATCGGACAGCAAGTAAACGCACATGGGAAATCCCCAAATGGGTTCGCACCTTACCTCTTGTAAACAGTTACGACTCAAAATTGAATCACAAAGCAGGCCACAAAGCAGGATTGACTTTTACGTGTTATGTATAATTTTACTGTTTTATTAATAATTTCGAATCTAACTTGGTACCGTAGTATGTATTCAATCATTAAACAATTATTAAATCAACTTTCCAAATATAAGTGATGAGCTAGAAATATTTGTACTCTTTTCACTCGACTCGCATCATTTTTGAATGACCACACTTGAAGACGACATTGTACTGTGTATGAGGTAATTCTCTCTTAAAACTAGCATTCATTTATCACGAAAATCAAAACAGCATTTAGGCTTAAGCCTGTATTTTATTGTAGGATAAATCATCACAACAAAACAAATAAAATTTTAATTTTATTCACACACATTTATCAACGTCGTCACAAAACTTCCAAACACCGTTAAATCGGTAGCCGGCCCCCATCGAGCGTCGGCGAAGAACATCAAAAGAAAGACCACGTTGTAGAGAACAAGTGTTCCGCCCTACGAACGAAGTATGCATTAAAGCAAGAAAAAACAACCTCGTCCGTCATAATATAGCATAAAATATGCTTGTATATTTTTTTTTGTAAGATACTGTAATTAAACCTCTAATCATCACTAATATTAAGTCAAAACAAATTTGTGCCGAACGGCCCCGATCGAGCGAAGAACATCAAGAAAGACGACGTTGTAGAGAGCATGTGATCCACCTTACTACAACGTATTCTAGCAAAAAGTAAACAACTCGTTTGTCATAAAAGCATATACAGTATAATATGCGTGTATTTTGTATAAGATATTTAATCATCATGAATAAAGTAAGTCAAAACAAATAGTTTTAATTTTTTATTCAAACTGTATGCAGCGAGTACGTCTCCGTGGTATGGGGTGGATGCAGAGAATAGGGCCTAGCTAGGCCTAGGCCTACTCGCATCCCCGCTCTAACGTTGTGGTCATAACGTTATGCCAACGCTAATTTCGAGGGCTGCTAATATGTTTTGAATTTTTATTTAATATTTACTCTTCAAATTTCCAGCGTATGATTACCCTTAGCCTTAACTGAGAATATTGTAAACCTGTGAATCCTACTATCTGATATGTTTGTGTTGCCAAAAGAGTCGCGAACATTCTGTGTTATGTTGTACCGAGTATACTGTATGTCATATCCGGTAAAGGTGAAATGCGGGTCAGATTCAGAAGGCGGAGCGTAGCGATACAGAATTCATTAAAATAGATAATTAAAACTTGTTTTTTTTAAGAAAAAGGCATTATCTAAAAATATAAGGAAAGCCATCGATATGTTTATTATATAATTCTTTATTGTTTTTTGACATTTTAAAATTAACTAGAATATGTCATTTTAGATGGACTTTAAAGCATTTAACCATCCCATTAACTACACTGTTTACATTCAAAAATAAAATTGTATTTACTCCTCTGTCTGGATGCTTTTTTGTGCAAAACTACTTGAAGATAAGAAAACTAAATTTTATTTATTTTTTTTTCGCCCTCCTCTGATGATCCTTCAACAAATAAGTTCCTTAACAGATACTGTACTGTAGACAAACACTTCAGCATGACAGTTGTTTCCTGTTATAGAAACAGGTTTGTTCATTAGTACAAACAATGTGTAGACCTAGTGTATATGATCAAATTGTACCATAAAAAATAATTATCTTCCTCTCAGTATTAATACCCATTAGCTGTCAGTGAGTCTAGTTTTGAAGTTATCGTAACGATTTCCGTGTTTCATTCCCTTATGTTTGCCGAACAAAGAGAAAAATTCCAGATCAGTAACTGCCAGTACCACCTTGAATGCTGAATATTATTGTCTATCATAAATCATGACAATGACATCAATGGAAGTATTTGTGATTATCCTGAGTACTGTGATCTGTAGATTCGAGGGCCTGGAGATTACCCAGCATCCCAGAAGTCAATATGTTTCTAAGGGGGACAATGTTACATTTACTTGTGGGTTTAGTTCTTCTTTTGGAGAATATGATGGGTATAGGAGAATATGGTCTCGTAAGCTGGAAGGTGAAGCAATCCCCACAATGCTTACTGATGAACTATATGTGAATCCTTTAATCCCAGGTAGGTTTGCTGTCAGCCAAGATGAGTTATTTAACTATGAATTAAGCATCGCACCCGTTTTGTATAATGATGCAGGTACCTATTATTGTGAAGTCGGCAACGTCGCTACGAACACTCTCTTAAGTCGCTCAGATGAAGCACAATTAGAAGTATATACACCTGCACAGGATCCGTTATGTTACATTCAGCGTGTGATCAACAATACACAATATGTGTGTACATCAAATATTGAAGGTGATACTATCTACTGGGTGTATGAAAACAAGCTCATATTACAACAAGTAATTAAAGTTGTGGAAAACGACACAAGAACCTTACAATGCTATGTTAATAACAGCTTTGGAGTACCAAGCAGAACTTGCATTATCAACAACAATTGCGTGGTGCGACATGAATCCGATGGCCTGGTAGTTATAGGGGATAATGCTGCATTTACATGTAGCTGTCGCTATCAACACCTTTCGAACTTTACCAGTTGGACATACAATGGGAGTACAATTTCATCAAGTAAAGAGCGATTTTTAGTTAGAGATAAGTCACTCTTCATAAATGGCATCCTAGAGAAAGACAACGGTCTCCTTATTCGATGCAATGCCAATAATAAAACAAATGAAGTATCTAGCGGATGGCTGAAGCTACAGACGTTGTCAAAAACCTCTACAACTCAAAATATAGATCCATCAGCAACAGTCACTCCAATTGATGACTCTGTATCTTATGAAACCTTAAAATATATTACTTTAGTATTGATAATAATAGTATGTGTGATTACAGTGGGTGGTATGGGGTCCTGTTGCATTAGGTGTCGAAAAAAAAACAAGCTAGTGATAAGCAATCATCGGCCACCAATGGCACCAGACAGCACTCAACTGCCAACGATTGCAACACCCATCCATTTTTCTCAGAATAAACATAAGAGCGAATCTACTACTTATGAAAATTTCGATATTAAAAGAAATGTTTTTAATGATAGCGAAGACCTCCCAGTATATGACAACATCATCAAGGTAACGAATGTAGTATACGATAATCTTAGAACAGATACCAGTGGAAATAGATTTGAAAATGACTATCTAATACCTACAATAGGCTTGGGTGAATGTTACCCACTGCATTACTCAAACATTTCTATTAATAAATCTCACATTTAAAAAAAAAAATCTAGACATACTATGCCTGTTTGTAAAACAGGACATAGTACCTTTGTGAAAAAAGGACAGAAAAACCATGTGAAAAAACATAGGAAAAACAAGATACAGTACAATCAAAAAGATAAATCAGAACAAAACAACAGATTTTCCACTGGTGCGGGAAAGCCAAAAAATTAGAACAAAACAATATTAATAGATGAAATAGATTTCATAATCAAAAATAAATATAATTTAATATTCCTAGAATACTATATTCAGCTTACCCTCATATCCTTTTGAGGAGGGATACCCTCGAGGGCTGCCAATACGTCATCATCGTCCCATTCACTCTGGCAGAAAAGAAAAAAAAATAAGTTAACTCCCTCATACAGAGATTGACAGCTAAATTGCAAGTACAGTAATGTGATACTGTTACTAATAATTCTTTATCAGTCATTGAAAGTACATGAAAATGCTTTCCTTGGTAGGACATCATATATTGTTGAAAAATTAAGACATAAAAAACAGACTTACAGAACATGAGAAAATGAAAATGAAAATGAGTTCCATGGTTAGAAAATCAAAAAGTTACTTTATATTATATTTGGAACAATATAAAGTAAATGACAGCAGCACTTTTGAGACAAACAATAATAAAATTTATTTTATATTATTTTATATATTTAATATTTTATATTATTTAATTTATTTTTTTTTTTCAAATTATTATCTCAGTTGTATATTATAGTTGTTTCTTATCCCATTTGTACAGTCTTCTATTGAAGTCCACTGTGTGGATAAAAGCTAGAGAATAAATTCTATATTGTTAGTCTCAAAAGTGCTGCTGTCATTTACTTTATATTGTTCTATAACAGACTAATGCGGCTACACTTTTTATTTATTATATTTGGGTAGATCACACTATAAGCTTTAATTTGGTCTTTGAATGGCTTCTCTATGATAAGTAGATCCAGAAATGTGAGCATTTAAAGTTGAGGTGTATGAGAACCACATTTTGAGAAAATCAGCTTTGAAGATAAACTAACCTGTAAAAATAATTGAACTAGAATTACAGAATATGCGCAGACAACACTGTTTTAGTAAGAAAATTCATTTTAAAAAGTATACAATAATAAAAATACGGTTACCAAGTTAAAACTTGAAAATCAAAATTTTATAAAAATTTTGGCTTGACCGATTTTGGTGAATATCTCAATATGATTCCACCAAGGATGAGTCTCATTCTGTAGTGAGACCTCACATTTACTTCAAGATGTATAAAATAATATATTTGAAAATGTTAGAAACCTACTACACAGCAACAATGGAAAATCATTGTTATAGTGCAAAGTCTCACAAGTTTTAATCCTGATCCACTTTTCACTTTCACAAAGATAAATGTTGTAGACAAGAAATTCTGTGATATAATGTTTCCTTTGTATCCACTTCCTTGAAACTAGTAGACTGCACGTATTTGAGTATCAATACTTTAAATTGTAATTATTCAAACCATTTACTGTTGAATTTACATTTACTGTATGCATAATGTAATGTATCCGTTTGAATGTTACATTCAGCGTGTGATCAACAATACACAATATGTGTGTACATCGAACATAAAGGTGATACTATCTACTGGAGGTATAAAAACAAGCTCAAATTACAACAAGTAATTGAAGTTGTGGAAAACGACACAGGAACCTTATGATGCTATGTTACTATTAAAATTGTAATTATTCAAACCATTTACTATACTGTATTTATATTTACTGTATGCATAATTTTCCATTGTGTGGTTTAATAACCTGTAATTAATTAAATTTAGATAATGTATTGGTTTAAATGTGTTACGATTTGTAACTCAAAGTATTTCAAATTGGCATGACCTGAGCATAGCAATAAACAAAAGTTGTTCTAGGCCTAAAATGGTAAAGTAGGACTGATCAAGCTATTGCTTATAAGGCTTGCCAACCCCAGAACCCGAAGTGAGTAACCGGCTTTAAAATGAAGGTTCATTCGACAAAGTCCAAAGTTATGAGTAAAAGTATTAACGCTTCTCTGTACTAAAGTATACAATACTATCACATTATTAGGCTAATTATTCAGTTTCACAATAAGTGAGAGTTACGCTGGTTTTGGAATGGCAAGCCTCATATTGTTAATCATTGTATGATGTTGTTCTAGATCAATTATATTATAAAGTTTATACCTAACAATTGTTGCAATTGATCATATGTATATTATCCATAATAAAATCAATAGTTTTTTTAAAAAACATTTGCATTTTGAAATATAATCAACTTACATGTAGCCTACAGTTTTTGTTGTTTAGCCTACCTGTGAATACATCACTGTTTAATCAGTGTAATTTCTTTTTGGTTTGCCATGTAGCATTTGCGTGTTATTTCTGTTATTGCAGGGCCTTTCTTTTCCATCTATTATGATGAATTATGGAAGTATATCCATAAAGAAAACACAAAACGCAATGTTGTTCGATTTTTGTCATTTTTGTCAACTTGGAAGGTCTGCTATAGGCAATTTAAAATTATGAACCATAGTAGTTCCTCAGGTATAAGCAGTGATATTGATAATGAAAATGGTATATAGATAACAACAACAATAACAATAATAATAATCATAATAATACTAAGTAATACTAAGTAATAATATATTTTTTCCTCACTGAAATAATAAAGTAAGGATGTTTCAATTAAACATAAGTTTAATTACCAGTTTATGCGAGACTTTTTTAATACCTTGATTATTTTGAAAATTTAATTTTAATTTTGCCCAATTAGCACTCGAAAAATAAGATATGTATATTTCTTTGAATAATTATATAAATTTAAAGCATTTAATCATCCAATTACTACATTGTTTACATTCAACAATAAAATAGTATTTTCTCCTCCGTCTGGATGATTTTTTGTCCAAAACTATTTGCAAATAAAAAAAACCAAATTTTATTTTTCTTTTTCTTCCCGCTCTCTTCTGATGATAATTCAACAAATAAGTTCCTTACCAGATACTGTAAATAAACGCAAACAATTTGTATGTGATCAAATTGTACCATAAAAATAATTATGCAATTAGCTGTCAGTGAATCTAGTTTTTAAGTCCTGTTAACATTTCCGTGTTTCATTCCTTTATGTTTGCCAAACAAAGAGAAACTTTCCAGATCAGTATCTGCCAGTACCACTTCAAATGCTGAATATTATTGTCTAGATCATTTTGCTATCATTTAAATCATGACAATGACATCACTGGAAGTCTTTGTGATTATCTTGAGTACTGCGATCTGTAGATTTGAGGGCCTGGAGATTACCCAGCATCCCAGAAGTCAAAATGTTTCTGAGGGGGACAATGTTACGTTTACTTGTGGGTTTAATTTTCCTCTTGGAGAATATGGGTATAGGCGAATATGGTATCGTAAGCTTGAAAGTCAAACGTCCGCTACTGCACTTACTATGGATCACCATGTGCGTCAATCAATACAAGGTAGGTTCGCTATCAGCCAAGATAACTTATTAAACTATGAGTTAAGCATCGCACCCGTTTTGTATAATGATTCAGGTATTTATTATTGTGAAGTCGACAACGGCACTATGGAAACGGTCTTAAGTCGCACAGATAAAGTGCAATTAGATGTATATACAGTTCCAGCGGATCCGTTATGTTACATTCAGTATACGACAAACAATACACAATATGTGTGTACATCGAATATTAAAGGTGATACTATCTACTGGGTGTATGAAAACAAGCTCATATTACAACAAGTAATTGAAGTTGTGGAAAACAACACACAAAGCTTACGATGCTACGTTAATAACAGCCTTGGAGTACCAATCAGAACTTGCATTATCAACAACAATTGCGTGGTGCAACATGCATTTGACGGCCTGGTAGTTATAGGGGATAATGCTGCATTTACATGTAGCTGTCGCTATCAGAACTTTTGGAACGTTACCAGTTGGACATACAATGGGAGTACAATTTCATCAAGTAAAGAGCGATTTTTACTTAGGGACAAGTCGCTCTTCATAAATGGCATCCTAGAGAAAGACAACGGTCTCCTTATTCAATGCAATGCCAATAATGAAACAAATGAAGTATCTAGCGGATGGCTAAAGCTACAGACGTTGTCAAAAACCTCTACAACTCAAAATATAGACCCTGTTGATGCCACATCAGCAACAGTCACTCCAATTGATGACTCTATATCTTATGAAGCTTTACTATATATTACTTTAGTATTGATAATAATACTATGTGTGATTACAGTGGGTGGTATGGGATACTGCTGTATTAGGTGTCGGAAAAAAAACGAGCCAGTGATAAACAATTATCGCCCAGCAATGGCACCAGAGAGCACTCAACTACCAACGATTGCAACACCCATCCATTATTCTCAGAATGAACATACGAGCGAATCTACTACTTACGAAACTTCCGTTTTTAATGATAGCGAAGACCTCCCAGTATATGACATCATCAAGGTAATGAATGTAGTATACGATAGTGTTCCAACGAATACCACCAGTGAAAGTAGATCTGAAGATGACTACCTAATACCTACAATAGCTTTGGGTGAAAGTTAACCACTGCATTACTCTAGCATTTCTCTTAATGAAGCTCATATTTAAATGATTGCAACAAAAAATTCTAGACATACAGTACAAAACAGGACATTTTTAAAAAGATCCAAAAACAGAAAGCGACCAAAGGTGCAGACAGAAAGACCCTGTGCCAAAAACATAGAAAAACAAGATACAGTAGAATCAAAAAAGATAAATCTGAACAAAACAACAGATTTTTCACTGACACAGGAAATCCAAGAAATTAGAAGAAAAAAACAATATCAATAGATAAAATAGATTTCATATTCCAAAATGAATATAATTTAATATTCCTAGAATACTATATTTAACTTTAAATGCCCTCATCCTTTTGAGGAGGGCTGCCAATACATCATCATCGTCCCATTCACTCCTGGCAGAAGAGGAAAACAAAATAAGTTAACTCCCTTAGACATTGACAGCTAAATTGTGAGTAATGATACTGATACTGTACTAATACTTCTTTATTAGTTATTAAAAGTAAATTTTATGAAATTCCTGTATTTGGCAAGACATCATAAAATTGTTGAAATTTAAAACATAAAAAACAGATTTAAAGAACATTTGTGAGGTCTCATGGTTATAAAATCAAAAATTAAGTGTATAATATATTTGGGTAGATCACACTATAAGCTTTAATTTGGTCTTTGAATGGCTTCCCTATGATAAGTAGATCCAGAAATGTGAACATTTAAAGTTCAGGTGTATGAGAACCACACTGAGAAAATCGGCCTTGAAGATAAACTAACTTATACAAATAATAGAAATAATGGGGCTAGAATTACAGAATGTGTGCAGGGAAACACTGTTTTAGTAAGAAAATTCACTTAAAAAACATGAAAATCACAATTTTATAAAAAATTTTGGCAATATCTCAATGAGATTTCACCAACGATGCATCTCATTTCGAGACCTCATATTTACTTCAAGATATGTAAAATAGGACATTTGAAAATGTTTAAAACCTACTACACAGCATCAATGGAAAATTATTATGTTATAGTGCGAAGTCTCATAAGTTCATCCTGATTCACTTTCACTTTCACCAAGATAAACATTGTAGACAAGAAATTCTGTGATATAATATTTCCTTTTTATCCACTTTCTTGAAATTAGTCGATTGCACATATTTGAGTATCAATACTTTAAATTGTAATTATTCAAATTATTTACTGTTGTATTTTCATTTACTGTATGAAAAACTTTCCATTGTGTTAAAAAACTCAATGTATTGATAATGTATTGATTTAAACAAGGACTTTTAACTGTTACCAGGATAGGAAGCTGGCTGGTTTAAGCCGTCTAACTTGAATTAGCCTTATGTATGGTATTGCTAGGCTAATGAGGCAGATAAGTGCAATCTGTATATGCTCAGAAAACCAAAACTTTCCTTAGCCATACCATGGCTACACTGCATATAGGCTTGGCGTACAGCTAGGCCTAGCCGAGAATTACGGTACGGTATTAACAAAGCAAAATAAGGGTACTAATGTCACTTAGCATGCAAATCAATCATAATTACACACTTAAAAATAAACTAATCTACCAATAAAATCCCCAAGTATGTCTATAAATTTGATTTTAAATTGATGTGATTTGGTTTTGTAGTATTACAATGAACATCACATAGGTTAGCCTAGGCCATGTCTTACCGCTTATAAAAATGCGTTAAAAAGACCCAAAACAAATTAGAATGAAGTTATCAACTAACTAGTGTATTAAAATTATTCATATACTTACTACTTACCTATATAAAATTAAAATACATTGCTCACAAACGCCAATATTTTGATTTCAATACGATGAATAGTGATGACAAACAGCCTAAGTCAGTGCATGGAGGTATTATTGAGGAGATCACTCGGCAACAGATCCCTTTGACGTGACAAACCAATGTGTTCCTCGCCTTTGGATCGCACATGCTCGTATTACCCTATAATTCACATTTTTTCGTTAGCAACAACTTGGCAACAACATGCATTTATACGCTTCAGCAGAGCAGTAATGCAATAAAGCGTTTGATTTTAACCCATTAAATATCTTTATAATGACCAATGTTCCCCTGATTGAATCTTTTTGGATTTTTAGTATGTTATTATTTGTATATTTCAGGAACAGATTACGTAAAATATTTATGTTAAAATTACTTTTGTGTTCATTACAATTTTGTCTAAAGATTGATTGGTTCGACTATAAAGCTAAGGCAGCGTAAAACTGAAAATTCCTCTGATTTTGGATTGAATTTTCGAATAGTTAACCTTCGTTAACCCTAAAATGGCTTAGTTTATTATAATCCTCCATCATTCCCTGATTAATATGGAAATTCAAGTTGAAATATAGAAAATATTATTATGTTGGGTATTTCTTGAAAGATCAATGTATTAGCTTCATTGTAGAAACGATTGCGCAGCCATAGTTATTGACTGTAAGGAGTGCGCATTGAGAAAACAACGTGCTCTCCATTTCACCATGTTCAATTTTTTGGTCATCTAAGCCTGCTGAGCATTTGGTGGTGAGGAACACATTAGACTTCAAAGGCATCGCGCAAACGTTATTCACAGGCTGAGGCAGCTTTGTTCATGGTTCATTTGCATAGCGTTGCATACGCGTAGCTTTTTCCAATGATCTCCTTCTCAATAATACCTCCATGGTCAGTGGTGCGTAACAAAAAAAAATAAGGAGGAAAGGAAAGGAAAGGAAATACGACCATCGCATGACGAATCCACATTTGCTTCCGGTGAGCGATAGATGATGAATGCCGTCTGATGATTGTCAGTGGCAATCTGAACGGATCCTCATTAAATCCTCGTCTTCGCGTCCGTTCTTGTCACGTTATTGTCACATCGCCTTTGCATGCAGTGAGTAACCAGCTTTAAAGTGACGGTTCATTTGACAAAGTCCAAAGTTATGAATAAAAGTATTAAGGCTTCTCTGTACTAAAGTATACAATACTATCACATTATTAAGCTAATTAATCAGTTTCATAATTAGTGAGAGTTACGCTGGTTTTGGAATGGCAAGCCTCATATTGCTAATCATTGTATGATGTTGTTCTAGATCAATTATATTATAACGTTTATACCTAACAATTGTTGCAATTGATCATATGTATATTATCCATAATAAAATCAATAGTTCTTTAAGAACATTTGCATTTTGAACTATAATCAACTATACAGCCTACAGTTTATAACACAATGTGCAATCTCCATAACAGAATCGCAAGCTCATTGGACATTATTCATTCCGCAAAAGCAGCGCATACTAATGCAATTAAAGCCCACATTGTTTATCTTTATATTTTTTTTGTCTTTATAGCAATGTGCAGCCTCCACCAGTCTGCCTAGTATACATTCATAATCAGGTATATGTGGCAAAGACAAGCTAAACCAGTCACTCGTCGCAAAAATCGATTTTGAGTTATTAATACAATGAGAGTAAAATAATAGCTATAAAATGGGAAAAAAATCATTCAAATCGGACATTTCCTTATGAAGTTACAAGCGTTTAACCACACAGCTGTTTAAAGAACAATATGAGAAATTAACCGTCAAAGTTTATGATTTCAGGCATTTCTCATGCAGAAACTATCTTTAAATCCTTAAAAAGTATTGTTTTAACATTGAAAATTGGGAAAATAACAGCATAGAATGATGTGCAGATATATAAAGGTTAGTTTAGTGCAATAAAAAAGATTTTTAAAAATTTGACATTCCAGCATGTTTTAGCCATTTTCTCTGAAACATGATTTGCGACGAGTGACTGGTGTGGCTCGTCTTTGCCACATATTTCAAAACTGACCAATCCGAACAGGACCAGAAATATGCATGTGCCTCACAAACACACGTTGTTCACCAAAATCCACCTTTTTGCGTATTGTACACTATCGTTTTGTGGGACCACAGCAATAATATCCAAGGGCTGTGGCTAAGTGGGAAGGTCCATCATATTTTTAATCATTTGCATTTTACCGGCACCCAATTAATACTCCTGGGTGGACACGGATAAATTTAATGCCTAACCAAAGAGTACAAAATGGTCAGGGTTTGAAATTTAAAGCCCATATGTCCAATTGTCTTAGAATGCATTCAGTCTATTCTGAATATTCTTCCATGAATATCAATATACTCGAGGTAGCAGACAAGGCACATCATTCATGATTGTCATTCTGGTTGTAATGCTCAAGTCACACTATCAATTCTTGTGTGACAAATGCCTATGATTTGCCCATATATGGGTGTGATACGACACCATCATGTCCATATATGTGCAAATACACATATTTGTCACAAAAAAACTTGACAAATGTAGACAAAGACTTCCTGTCAAACATTATTCTTATTTTTACTTACATCTCCTAATGATGTCATACTGCCCCTGGGTGTTGACATGGGACTGATCTGGTCACTGGATGGACCGTACCCGAACCCTGATTTTGGTACATGTTGCTTCAAGTCTTTTGTAGCTTTCTTGCTTGTAACAGGGGTGTGGTCAGGATTGGCAGAAGCAAGGCGTGGAATCTTTGAAGTTTGCTTATCATTCTTGACAGACGTTACAC